TATATATATATATTAACTGCAAAAATATATAGAGACTTTGCATTTCACTTCGAATATGTATTTAATAACTATTTATTTATGTATTTATTTAATAAGTATTTTAATATTTATATTGCTTAGAGTAAAATGAAATATCAACAATTATTAATAATAAAGTCCAGACTGTTAGCTCTTGTATCAGTGATGTGAAGATAAAGTCTGCTGATACTGTTTTATTACATATTAAAATGAACAAATATGAGCAGTGCATCGTTGTGCACTGCAGAGCATGAAATGGTCTGGTCTATTCTTTGGAATAGTAGCTCCATCTAGTGGCCAATGTTGGAAGCATCACTAGAGCGTGTCTGTAGGCGATGGTAATTTCGTCACACTGCCAGGATCCGGTTCATTTGGCTTCATTTAGTGACCAAGACGGCTCTCAAACTTTTAAAAAAAGAAACTGAGAGAAAAGTAAAGAAAAAATACTCAAAAGCGTACAGTGGAAAAAAAAAAAAAAAGATTGAAAGTACTAATAGCTGTCACAATAGTCTTTGATGATGCTATTTTTCTTTCTATCTCATAATGCATGCTAATGTATTCTTTAATCAGTTCAAATTCTTTATAAAACAATTCAATAAAAATAATTTGGTGTTGTTTGTCTAAAAAAGGCTACATGAGCATGTAATACTTTGGCATGAAAGTATAGTCAGCAACAGCAAATTGTATTTACACTATACAACTCCTGACACATGAGTCGTCTATAAGTCTGATTCATTGTCTCCTCTGTGCTCCTTTGTTTCTTCGACTCTTCTTCTGGTTAAATCTTTTGCCAGACCATTTTAGATCTGATCGTATTTACAATGTTCTCTATTCTTGACAAGAAATCTGCAAAATAACGCAATTTTGTCTCCCTCATTTCTCCCTCTAGGGTTATTTTTTCTACTGAAAAGAGATTTTTTTATGAAAAGAAACAGCTTACACTTTGAGTTACCATAGCCACAGACTGTTCAATGCCTTCCAAGGCACTTCTCCAACCTTTGTCACATTACAACCAATTTTCAATGTATTTTATCAGAATTAAATGTAATAAACTGACACTTTAGTACAACAGTTTTAGGTGTATGGTTTTCAACACTGTACATTTACGTCTGAAAAGCATGCCATGCATTCATATTTAGCCTCACTGATTAAATCAGGACAATACAACAATACAATTTTTGTCTACCAACTTTCTAGAATTTTTTTTTAACCTTTTTTGTATCTCTAAAGTGTTCAAGTCTGCTATAATTTCGAACCTATACATTGACATGAAAACATTTGCTAACTTTTTTAACTATAAAAATATTGTTTTTCAAAGGACTTTATACACTGCTTTTTCTATTAGTAATAATAAAAAAATCAACATAAAGTCTAATAATATAGCTTTTTGAACAAAGAACATTACACCAAAAACATAACCCTGCGTTTAGTGAATATTGCTGCAGTACTAGACTGACAAAGCTATTTACTAAACCACATTCTGACAGGAAATGCAACAAACGTTTAAAAGAGAACTGACCTTAAAAAAGATTGAAAAAATTACTGTTCTCTTATATTTCCTTTGCAGCTGCTGACAGTAATGCTTGTGTAACTACAGCATCTGAAACTGCGGACATCCCATTTATACAGTTTTCAATCAATAATCCTAATTTTACAATCCAGTAATCAATTTCAAATATAACAGTCATAGCCATAGCAATAAAAATATAAACAGTAAATATTAGATTAGAAGTGTATGGCTTTAATTCTGACATCAGGATGTATTGTTAACACTTGAAAAACATACATAATTCTGTCTTTATAAATAAACATAAAACACAATACATTTGTACCTCTAATTTTATTAATTTTAAACTAAAAAATATATATTTTTTTTTATTTGAATGTTATAACTACAAGTTATTTAATGTGCATATGCTTTTGACTTGAAAGCTGTCTCAGAGCTCATCTGCTTAACAATTTAACTCCCAGACGGACCCAGCTTTACGTTACCTTCTCAAAAAATATAAAGTATTTATGAACCAGCTTCTATGTTACTCTATTGTCTATTTCTGTCTTCTTGAACCAATATTCTGCATCAGGAAAAGGCCTTTCACATTGAGCCTGGTTCTGCTGGTTTCCTTCTGTTTAAAGGTAATTTTTCCTCTCCACTGTTTCTGCATGCATGCTCAGTGTGGCGCTACATGCTCATTCAGGAGGAAAGAATTCTCCTAAAATCCATCTCACCATAGAGCAATATTAACCATTCTGCCTGTATCATTCAATTGCATTTGATTTCTAAATTGCATTGAGATGACATGTTGATAACAGAATTATACTGTAAGTAAACAGTATTATATCAAATTCTCATTAACTTTCAGTTGCTTTGTTTAAATTTAAAATTCATTATATGCCATTGAACATTGAAAATCTACAAGCTCATAATCAGACTGCAAAACTAGAAGTATCCGTAATCAGTTTATACTCTCAAATATTGTGATTGTCACAGTAATTATATGTCACTAACTATTATGTATTTAAATGCAACAATTTTCTTTTTCAAGACCTTAAACCTCAACATAACACATCATCATAAAATAAAAATAAAATTAAACTAACAACAAACAGGACCCTCAGGCGGGTGCCTGTTCAATTCGTTCAGTAAATAAAATGAACCGGTTCACTGAGTCGGATCTACTTACTGGAACTAGATAAATTTGTCACATAGACGTCCCAGTGTCACCAAAACTGAGAGGTGCTAAATCACTTTTATCTGAAAATTAAAAGAAAAAAATACTAATAATTTTTTTAATATAGTATTTTATATCAAAACCAATAAAGTTGTTATTTTTCTAATTTTAATTCGTCCTAGTTTAAAGTAGTTTTGTCTTTCCCTCGTGTTTTAAACTGACAGTGCGCGCACGTTCTCGTG